TCTCTTCCTTAACGTGCCATCTACACGATATATTCGCGATCATAGCTATCTGCGAAGGCAGAAACAAGGATGCGGCTTACCGAGACCCAAAACTCGCGATTTTCTTTTCCTCAGATGCGATACAGTCTAGATCTGCAGTGACCCGTCTAACTGGGAAACATCGACGACATCGGCTGACTACGGATACATTCACCATAAGAGCTACGTGGAAATCATTGAATAAATTTCGTCATTCAACATTTCTCTTAATTGATGTAAAATTTTTCTGGTAGAAATGGTGACCAAAAAGATAATAGGTGTGGGAGAAGAAGTCAGAGGAAGAGACTAGTCAAATTAGAACGAAGATGGAAGAAAGGCTTGCCATCATGGAGGACATGTTTTCGTCCATAGAAAGATGAATGGGGGGATAAATTTGAGAGTGTAGGAGAAATATGGGAGATGATGAAAAAACTCATGGAGATACAATCAAATGTCATGCCGATCGCTCCAGTTGCAAATCCTAATCAAAGATTGATCAGAGAGACTTTGGTTATATTAAAAGGGAAGGAGATCGAATAAGAAAACAATGAGGAAGACATTGTCTACCAACAACAGCATCCCCCCCCGGACTTCGAGAGGAGGGTGAGTGGAGACTTTCGAGGGGAGGGGATGGGCTGAAAATTAGAGGGATGATGTAAGGAGTACGGAAGAACACAGGGGAGGAAGGAGGGAATCGAGACTTGCGCATGTCTATGACCAGAAGATGGAGTTTCACCCTAGATACAACAGGGGAAATACCGAAGGAAGAGGAAATTCATGTAGCCGAAGAACTTGTTGTGCGGGCTCGGTACGAAATCTTAAATAAGGATTTTTTTTCGTACGGAGGTGCAACATAGAAATAGAGGCAATCATTGTTCAACAATAGCCAATGCAGGGTGATTGGATATATTATATTCTTTTTTCAAGGAAGAAGCCTAATCTTTTATTGATTAAAATTAATTTGCCTGATAATAATCCATATCTGCTTGAATATTATGTTAGGTTTTGGATTTTTTTATAATTCTTCTGAATAATAAAATCCTATTAATCGTAATAAGTTTTAGGCCAAATACATTGAAGTGAGATATTATGCACATGATAAGTATGATGTTTCTTCTATTTCCAATCTTCTAAATAGGTTATTGTTATTTTGATCCCCAATTAATGACAATTAAGGAACTAAAGTAAAAGGGCACTTTTGTAATGTGGTACCGCTCACCTACCACAGCTCACATACCGTTCACCTACCGTTCACCTACCTCTCACCTACCGCTCACCTACCTCCCACCTACCACTCTCTTGCTTCTATAAATAGAGAGGGT